ATGTTTTATTGTAATACCAATTTATTAATAGAATACATTCTTTCTCCTTACAATAAAATCAATGGAGGAAGCAGAGTGGGAAAGAAAATATGAGAGGTAAATAACAAGAGATAGTAATCCTTCATTTTAAATATTGTGTGGTGATTAATTATGGTAGTTATTGGATGGTTTAGCCTGTCGAAAAACAGTGAAATCAGGAATATTGTCTAGAACAAAATTAATGAAAAAAAATGTACACTTTAATATTTAACTTGTTTTTAGTATAGAATTTAAAATAAGACTAATTAGATTAAAATAAATTGGTATTATACGATTTATGATTAATTTTAGAATGTTGTTGTTGAGAAAAGGAATGTGTCAATATGTACATGGAATCAACCAGTTCATTATAATTTTAATTGATTCATTATAATTTTATGGAAATCAACTTATAGGATATGTATCGTGTCACGACGATGTTAAAGTCATGAAACCATGCAGTTATTGTTACGCATGGCGCACTAATATCAATTTTATTAGAAATTATATAAACAAACTTAAATATAAGAAAAAAAAACTGAATTTAACTTTATTGTCCTAAAAGGTTTTTGCTTGACTAGAATTCGATAATATTATCTACTAAAAATTGAAAATAAATAAAGTCATCCAAACTAATTAGATTAACCTCTTTCATATAAACTTTATCATCCAAAAATTTAATCATTTCTCATTTAATAAACGTAATAAATATGATGACAACGGCACTACAACTTTTGAACAAGTTTATTTTATTATTTTTATTATGGACTATTTCTTACCCTAACACGAAAAAAAATATTTAAAATGTATAAGTCAAAATGTAGATTTTATAATATCCGGACGTCATTATATTCATTCGAACTATAATCCTTTTAAGAAAAAAAGAAATTCACATTTTTCACATCCATATATATTTTATTTCGTGTTAAATTACATTCATTTTATATTGATGTTTTACAAAAATCATCGGGTATTAAAGAATGCCGAACGCGCAAAGAAAAAATATATATTTATTATTTTTATTTTTAATTGACAAGCAAAGATATAATCAAGATATATAATCCAAGATATATGATCCAAGATATATAATCCAAGATATATGATCCAAGATATATAATTCAAGATATTATCTATTCCCAAGGTAATTTATAATCATGATATTTTGTTAAAGGGTTTTCAAAAGGTAAAAATTGTTCCCTTCTAATAACCTTAATAAATTTTCCAGCCTTTTCCATCTTTTCATCCGATAACTCTGAAAATTTCAAACCATTATTACAAGTAAACATCATCCTTCTATCAAACCTATCAAACCTATTCATATGTTGAACCACCCATCTATCATAAGTGACTTCTTCAAGACTTTTGTAAAATTCAGAATATTTCATTAAAATATGTAAATGTTCATCGGTAATTCCTTTAGTAGAATTTAAACCAATTTTTTTAAAATTAACATGCGTAGTAGATCTTAATAAAGCTTCTAATTCTTTTGGGGTAATATAAGAATCTAAATCCAAATAAGTTAAAGATTCAGGAAAAAATTCACTTAATTCTTGAATATAAGTACCAAAATTTTTATTGTTAAATTTTGATTTTAAAATTAATGATTCCAATTTTGAAAATTGTAACCATTTATTAAATTCATCGGTAGTATCTATTTGTTTGATATGAAGAGCCAGATATTTGATATTTGAGCAAGTTTCCATCATGGCACTAATTATGTCTCTTGATTGATGCGGATATAAAATGTCTATTGTAAGTTCTTGCAAACATTCTTTAACAATACGAAAAATTTCAATGAAACTTGGACGAATGTTTGTTGCGTATCGACCATCATCGAAAATAAAGAGTTTTTTAACGGAAAGAGGACGTACTAGATCCCAAGGAATATTAATTTCAGGTTCAGCGTGAAGTTCCATGACGTTGTACAAAACCAAAGAAACTAAATTTTTGCAAGCAGATAATAATTGAAAAGTTTTTAATCTTGCGTGCACCATATCAAATCCAAGCCAAGATAAGGTAGCAAAGGTACTTGAAGATAAAATTTTAAGAATAGGATTAATGACTCTAGCCCAACGAATTACGAGAGAACGAAGATGACTTTGATTTTTGATTAAGGAAATAATTAAGGGATTCAGAACATCATGACCGGTTATATCAATATATTGAAGATTATGAAAAGAAGAGTTCATTGAAGATAAAAGATCATTTGTACTTTCACGAAGGTTTTCAGGAAAGTTAATATTAGAATCACTATTACAAATTTTCAAAAAAGTAATATCTTCAGAGAAAACCAAAAATCTATTAAAAGTATCCAAAGGAGGGACAAAGATACTGTTAAATTGAATAGTGAAATCAGTTCTTTTAATATAAGCGGAATTGAATAAAAGTTTTGAAATTTCAGTCATTAAAAGCATAATTCTTCGTTTAATAACTTTAGTTCTTTGATCAGTTGGTTCTCTCCAATGCCAACATAAATATTTCAAATCTTGATCAATATTTTGACTATTACTATACCAATTGATAACGACTTTTTCAAGTTGAGGTAAATGAAATTCGTAAAGAAAGTTTTGATATTGAAATAAAGGTTTTTTAGAATGAGGAATTTTAATACCATGTTGCCTTAAAAAGAATTTGCTTTGAGGATCGAGACAAGCGATATAAGTAGCAATTATATCGGATAACCAAAATTTTCCACCAGTCCAAGGATATTTTATATATTTAGTAGCAAAAGGAGTTCTCCAAATTATAGGAACCATGAGCCTACACCATTTTCTGCAGACTAATAAACAAGCGAATCTACATTGAAAAGCCACCAATTCAAATATATTATGAATAATATCGTCAGGAAGTTGAGGGATTCTTTCTTTTTCAATAAGTTTATGTTTATCTCGAAGTCTATCAGATCGACGGACATCTTGGGAATTAGAAGAAACTTTTTGTCGCCTAGCATTTGGGGAAGATACGTTAAAATCAACAGGACTTTTTCCTTGTATCCTCAATGACATGCGCATTATGACATATATATATATGTATGTACAGTAATGTAAGTATATATTGATATGTAGTAATATTTCAAGAGAGTAAGATTATAAAAAGAAAATAAAATGATGAAAAGAATTGTTTTTGTTTGAATTAACCGGAAGAATTGAGATGTAAACAAATAACAATATCATACGTTGTAGATCAGAAAGAAGAAAAAAAAATTTTTTTCAATTTTTCCGAAAAAAAAATTTAATAAGGTAAAACGCCTATGATGAATTATATTATCAACTCATTTTGTGTAAGTAAAAGGTTTTCATTATACATGAGATATTTACATACCTTAGATCACCGAAAAAGGCATCGACAATCTTGGCGGCGTTCTTAATGAACTATTTATGAGTGTTTGATATTCGTTGTCAAATATTTATGATTACATTCGATCCAAAAAATCAAAACTTACATTAAAGTTTGAGAAATATAATGAGTTTCGACTCTAAATAAGTCAAGACATTAAAAAAATTAATTTAAAAACCTTAATCAAATTATTTATAACCAAAAACGAATTATAAAGGGTGTGGAGAAAAAGATTCGCAAATTCAAATTTAAAAAAGCAAAGCCTCATTTCTTATTTAAATAGCGATCTTAACGTCAATCGTCGGTCACACTATCATCATAAACTTATATATATGTGCGTGAGTTTATACAATCATTGTACGTATGTACACATGTACATAAAGCTCAAACAATGGGCGCAGGAGTTCGATGAAAAAGAGTGTAGTACATACCGGTTCGTACGTACGTACTTACGTAGCAGAGATTTGTTTTTTCTTTTTGATACAATCGTTTAGTTGTGAAATATGAATCTAAATTTCGGCCAATAACTTATAAATCTTTCCTTTGTTTCCTTATCGTTATCGTGAATTACGAGCATTAATCTTTTTTGATGCAGAAAATCACGTGATGGAAGTTAATTAAGCCGCGGCCGTAGCAATTGTTACTGTTAAACAGAAAATTTTCCATATTTGAGACCATTCATTAACGTTAACGATATAAGTTATTAAGATTTTAAAGATAACAAAATTTGTGATCTACAGTATCAACAATCGTAGATTGAGCCGATTTTAAATGTCGAGAAAGTATTAACTCATTCGGTTAGAGGTAGAGAAGTTGTATAACATGCCAAAGTCTTATGATCAATACATAAAAGGGCGTACCTTACCTTCATGACACTGTCTCAATAATGTCAAAATTCCTAATATATTAAACCAATGTTGTACGTACATTTTTAGTGTTCCGTTCAATGGCTCGTCTAAACATCCAAGTACGTACGTACGTATGCCAAGGCATGTCAAACTTCAATAATTAAAATAAATTTATATAAGAATACATGTTTATATGGTGCGAACTATTTGGACAATCCAAAAACGCCACTACAGCACTAATAATATGATGTCATAGTACCACAGAATCAATCACGAATAAAGTTTTTTCAAAGGCATAAATTTACCGATACTTTTCGAAATTCCAAGCATCATTGCCTATGCCACACTACGCCATACTAAAATTTGATAGGTTTTTTTTTAAAAAAAAAATCGCTACTATTCAACAAACATTTGAACCAAT